GTAAAAAAAATGTTACATAGAACTTGTATAGGCGGAATCTTTAAATTTTAAAGCAGCAATAAATCATTGCTCAGAAAATAATTTATGTGCAAAACTTGGTTTACTAAAAAATAGTCTAGATTTAAACAAAAAGCATGTACTTATATTCCTTTATCGTAATTGTATTGTTGTACGAGATTTTCTTGAGAACACCTGAATATTTCCAAAAATGACTTTCGTAAAGTTTATCCTGAGTTCGACTTATATAACAATATAAAAAAGCTATCCAAACATTTAACTGGGAAAATAAATTCATTAGCCTACTCTACCAAGTATCTGAAATACATAAGCCAACCATAGAAAGTGAAGTTAACTATATTTTTCTTAAAATATTATTTATAATAGTTTGGCTAGCGACGATGAAAAGTGGAACTATGAATTTCAGTTCAAGTCAACGCCTCTGAATGGGTACTGAAAGTATTTTAATTTTATAATTAAAAAAAAAACATTTACATTTTTTAACTAAATTCAGTGAAAACTCTGGTCATAGGTTATCACAAAATAAAAAACTAATCCTAGTAAAACATTAACTATATTATTATTAAAATATATTTGAGACAATATTTGAAATTCGTTTGCTTAATTCATTTTAAAACGCTTGATTAAAATGAACTAGTTATTATAATTCCAGTAAAGCGACTGGCTAGATTTGGAATCATAATCTTACATTTTAGGGGTCTGATTGGCTAGCGAGACAAAGATTGGCGTCAGACGTAACTTCTAATTGTGTGTGGCTCATGGAACTGAGCTCTTCTTTTATACTAAAAATCGTGCGGCACTAGCCTATTGTTGTTACCACAAAAGAAATAAATCACGGTAACGCGTTTCCCGCGTGTTATCTTTTGTATGTTTTTAGTGTAAACATGACCCGAGGGGTTTTTACATGCATTAAAAGCCAACAGCCTTTTCCATCCCAATTTTACTCACAGAGCACGTGGTTCGTTTAGACTCGTTTGTCCTTTTACAATACACAAATAGATTATCCATGGGCTACACTCATACCGAGTGTAAGTAAGAATGAATACTGAATTGGTAATAAATTAAATTATATTATTACAGTTCGAAAAAATAATATTATTCGATCAATTTGACATTTTTCTGTAATAATACATTAACACACATCGTAACATTTTGTAATGTATAGAATTTAGGTGTGAATTTCTAACCACCCAAATTAGTAATAAACTACAGTGTCACATTATTTACATTTAATTTTTATATAATATGTGTACCTATGTACCTAAGTACATTATTTTGTTTTTAATATTTAACTAGTTTAGTGATCATTCATAATAAACGCCATATTTTTTAAAAGTAAGTATTGCTTATGAAGTTATAAAATAATCAATTTTATAAAAATATTTAAATTTTCAACCAATTATTTGTTGAAATTTAGAGTGATTTTATACATGACATGATTTTTAATCGATTTGATGTAAATGTTGTATTAAACCAAAACCTTTATAAATTAACTTTATTTCCAAACATTTTTGTTGAAACCCCTTTCTTGTTTTAAGTACAGTTCGACCATTTCCTGCTTTTTACCCAAGTACAGTGCGACCATTACCTTTTTTAACCCAAGTGTAATTCAACCATCCCGGTCGACATAGTACGGTTCATGTAGTGCTGTGATTTTATAAATTACAATATTTTGAAACCATAGATATTTCTTCTGAAATAGTAAGCATAAGTTTGTAAAAACTTTTCAATTAATTTTGTAAAATGTTGAAGATATTTCAATGACTAATATTATTTTAAAATACATTATTATTAAATTTTACAGAGACATAAAAAATTATAACATTTGAAATACACTGTTTTATACTTATTACTTATATCAAATAAATATTACAACTGTGTTTCAACTTTTAGACTATTAAATCAACGTATCTAACATCCTAACTTCAATAAATTAAAAAAAAAAAAAACATATGTGTGGATTTATTATTAAAACCCCTAACAGGATAAAAAGATGAGGGGTGGGGAGGGGGAGTGGTGTAGATCAATCGTCTCGTTTCAGCTGTCAAAATAGTGTTGTATAAATTGTATAATGATAATAGCTTGAAAGCAATGATAAATCATCGAATTCGAAAAACGATTGAGTAGAGCCCAGTTGAAACGGAGTGGCGCTTGCTGAGATTCCTTTAACACTTTTTGACGGTTCGTCGGTAGTTATTCCTTTCTACGCTCAAGGAAAATACTGAGAAAAAGAAAAGACCTTTCAAAGTACCAACTATACTCGATTTTCAATCATGACCTTTTCGTAGCTTATTCATTGCCCAAGAACGTGTCCAAAAGACGAATAAAAAATATATTCTAACATAATATCCTGCTTGGTCCCTTCAAACTAAATCTGAAATACAATTTAATTTTAAAACATGCATGAGGTGTTTACAGTTAATGTATAATTTAAAATTAGTACAATAGACGAATAGTTATTTTGTTATTTTTATCACAGTACAAAAGTATGATGTGAAAAGTTTGTATTATGAATAGTTATAATTTACAGTTGTATAAGAAATTAAACTGTGTTAAATTGTTCCAATCCCCCCCCCCTCATAATTTCGAATAGGTATATATTTTAAAAGCACATTAAATAGCAACAAAGTTATTATTCTTCCAATATTTTTAATATTTGTACATGCAAGTATCTGGCATAATATTCCCAACACAAATTACACCACGACGATGACACAACAAAATCGACTTGACGAAGATACAGGCCCACTAAAGCTACCCAAGATTTTTCATATCACCTCTTAACCTTATTGATTTCGTTGTCGTTAATATTTTAAATAAAAATTAATGGTTACTTAATCTCGGTTGCACTTAGTATTTTTACACCAGTCAAGAAACGCCATATTTTACTTCCACTGTATATCCGTGAAGCTCCCAAACAGTATCATATAAAAAGTATATTAATTAAACTCCCTTACGGCCTTGTCTGTTATAAACTGTTATTGTAACTATTTATCTTATTATAAATAATGTTAAATTGTAACTGTCAAAAATGATTTATTTTATTTAAATCGTTAAAATAGTACGTTCATATTTTGTACTATAAATGCTATTTTGTTTATATTTCTTGGGTTATTTTGGTAATATTTTAAGTATTAAATCTTACTGCAAGATTGCAATTCGCATTTCTATCAAACTGCCACATAGTTTAAACACATAGGTTATTTAACTTTATTGTTGTAAATTAATAAATACTATTTAAATCAGAAATTAAAATTTCAAACACAAAAGTCAAACTCATTCGGCTCAAAATCATAACAAATATTGTGTTAAAAAAAAAAAACTATCACAACAATAGCTTTTGGTGAGATTAACAAAGGTCGACTAGTAACCATCAATCCAGGTGTAAGTATCCTATGTTGTATCAAACTATATTATATTCGAAACCTTTTTTGTTGCATAAACAATGACTTTATAAAATATTACAATTAAAATATCATGCACATTATATTTTTTAGAGAAATACATATTGTATATACTGTAAAATATAAAAATTTTTGTCAGTATATGTTAAATGTAATAATCGTTTTTTTTTATCAACACAATTAACGCATAGAAAGAACTCAAACTGTGTATTTAAAAAATTGTATGTACAATCTAAATTAATTAGAGATATTTTTGATAAAAAATAAACCATGTGGTAGTTTTTATATTTTAAATATTATTATAATGGTGGGGCGTCCACCATAGGGTAGGTACAAAATATAAATATAAGCACCACCTATTGACAAAGGACCTTTTTTGTCCTTTTTCTGTTGATAGGATTGAGAGGGAGGAAAAAGAAAACATAACTAACTCCCTGCATTTTTACTCTAGGTCCTGTACTAATAAGAGTCTATTTAGGTCACATTGGTATCAAATAGTGCATATACACATTTATTCCCAAAGGCTTTACATTTAAAACCGTGAATAAATCAAGGTAATAATATTGTTATGTTTGATGACAAAAAATACCTATGTTCTTTCTAACATAAATATTTTTAAAGAAAACACAGTGACTATATCACTACAGCTTCTAACAGTTCAAATACATTCAGTACTAGTTCATTACGTTTTATGTGACTGAGTTAAATATTAAATAACCTGTAAGTTTAGCTTACTAATTTTACGTGTTTCATTAAAATGAGTGTAAATAGCAACACCTGCTACACCTAGTTAATCGGGTAGGTAGCCCTTAATTTCAACAATAAGAACTGATAATTGTACATCGTACGGATCAAAACAAAAACACATATTATTGTACTAACCAAATGTTTACCATGTTTATCATGTTAAGAAATTTAAAATAATGAAATACACCAACCAGTTTATTTGAAATAATTGGCCACGATACAAGATCAATCACTTGCTTTGAATCGAAAAAAATGTAATTAGTCAATAAATACTTTATGATCTCTTTTTGTGAATGTAAATAGATATGACATAAAAAATGTGTATATTATTTATCTAAATATGTTATAGTTAAATAAATACGACAAGCAAAAACATTATAATTAACAGTATGGTAATTTAATAAATGACTAACCTTTCTTTATAAAAACTAAAACCATCTCAATATATTACCTTAAAATGAACCTTTTTAGATGGAAATAGGTATAGTTTTAATGGCTTTGGAGTTTTTCTCAGCAAACATAATAAATTTAATACCATTCTTGAATGTTACTGGATATATATTTAATCTAATTTAATCGTTTTTTTTTTTTTGTTTACATAGAGTTAATTATAGGAGATACTTATATCTACTATAATTATATGGTAGAGCTTTAATGTTTGGCAAATTTATATATAACATTGAAACATAGTGTCGTCGACCTATTAGATACGTTGACCCGTGACTTAATGAGCCCTCATAATAGGAAATTTCAAACATATTAGAAATCATTAATTGTTCATTGTATCAATATTAATTAATTGTAATACATGTATTTTGTTGTTCTAGAATATGGGAACAATATTTGGTGTACACAATCGGCTTCATATGGCAGCAGGAATGTTGCTATCTAGCTATTTAATCATAGCTCAAACATCATCTCTTCGAAACGGTAATTATTGGAATTTTTGTTAACTATTTGTTTACTATAATTAATATAGTTTTTAAAAAAATAAATAAATACATGTTTTTTAACGAAATCAAGTAATGTACTTTGTACAATTTAACAAAAAAAATGTATCATTGTTTTGATTACATAGTTAATTTGAATTGAGGTATAAATAAATGAATCACATACCATAAAATAATATCATGTTCTATGCATTTTACGTACTACTTAAAATCTCTGGAAAATATGTCGTTGTTAAAATGTAGTTTAATTAAAGTTAAGTAACTAAAATATTTAACTACGAATCGAGAATAATAATATGCATTCGTTATAATAAAAACAAAACCAATTATATTAAATGTAGTCTTGCTGTGATATTATTATTTAATTCAGACTTATTTGCTTACATGCATTTTATGAACTTTGGTCATGTTATAATGTTTATATATTTAAAATAATTTAATAAGCTCATATATTTTAGATAGCAGTAAAAAAACATTGAATTAATATTCAAAATTAACTGGGTCTACATTATTTATTTAACTACTCTAATAATTCTAGTATAATATATTATAATGTAAACTATAAGTCTATGAGTAATAAAAACATCAAAATGTATGTTCAACAAAGTGTCTTCCTATGTTACGCATTTGTCGTTATTCTACACATTTTCATAGCTCATTGTTAGTTCTACTTTGAATTGTCTTCTAGCTGAAGAACAAGAAAAGCACACTTTATGGTTGTCCTATTCAACAACAATGAATTCTGCTGTATTCAATTTAACTTTAAAAGCTATGTTACGAATTCGAATTATTGTACTGTTATTAAATACAAAAGTGAGAATAGATGGTTTTATCTAATAGATTGTGAAGTTTCTGGTCAACGAATATAGGTAAACTTAAAAATACAATATTGTTGCAAACATAATATTATTATAAGGTAGGTACATTATTTTGTACAAGTTCAGTGTTAATATTTACATTTAATCTCAGCCTATGCATGTCGGGAACTAATTTAAACGACGGAGGTACTTTCTTTTAAGTTTTCTTAAAATTTAATCAGACCATGAAATTTAAATCCTATTACGTAGCTTAAATATGAATTTATAAACTAAATTATTTTAGATTCTAAACTACGGCGCGATGAATGTATTGATTTTACATTGACGTGTGTGTGTCTTTTTTTTTTAAATATTTATTTGACGAGAACAGTTTTTATTTAAGCTAATTGATTCTAAATACTGATATACTTATTTCCTGAATTGTTCGGAATAACTGTATGAGAAAGTATTTGATTTCATACGATGTCTTATTAATATTGTTTATGTTTGAATAATGTGACTGTATCAATAATAATAACACAGGTAGTGATTTTTCAAACTTTTTCGAAATTGTATTATTGTTTTTCCGAAGTTTACCGTAAATAATATTATTGTACTAACGTGCTACTTTTTAGTTTACTTAAACTTTATTTATCAAAAATAAAAATGTTATTTTTAGAATATTAAACAAATTATTATGAGGGTCTCTGAAAATTGGAATCAAAATAAGTGATTAGCAACTACTATGAGTGATGAGAAAACCATAAATTATATGACAAAAAGATTTATGTTATGAAAATTAATTAAAAGAATGAGTGGTGCCAAATAATTTAAATTAAAGTTTAAAAAGTTATAATTTAGATACCATGAATAGGACATAGGTCAATAACATATAATACGTAAATATAGTTCTTCATATATATTAACAGTTTTCTTTAGTTATTCCTGTCTTAGGCAATTGTATTGTGGTGAGTAATTTAATTACATTTTTTAAAATGTATAGATAATTATTAAATATAATAGCTATATGATTGAAATCATAATATATAATAAGAGGAAGTATGTAGCTGGCCAAAAAAAAAAAGAATATTCAATGTATATTATGTACATTATACAGTAATTCATCTAGCATGACCACTCACATTTTTCCTTTAATAATTAATTTAGAAAAATTCTTATTGTTGGAATTTTAACTGCATACTTAAAGATTTTTTTTTAAATATTTATATTTTTTTATCTTATTTAAGGACTTACATATATGCTAAATTCTTTGTTTTAAATAAGAAACATTCTTTTTTCCTGTAAATTGTTAAGTAAATTACATTTTGAAAATGTTGTTGTAGCAGTATGTAAATAAAAAAATTGAACTAGTAGACTTATATTAATTTAAATTTGTATACTTAGAATCATTTATGCTTTAACGTTCAATAATAATCAGACTTGGAAAATATTGGCCTCTAATGTTTTTAAAATTATAGTAAATTATAGTTATATTAAAATGATAGGTAGTTAATTTGAGCTTTTGTAATTATTGACAATAGACTAATAAATACATGTGCATAGTTAATTATCAACATAATGATTAATAATAAAAAATGAAAATCTAATAAAAATTATTGTAAGCTAAATATATAAGTAAATTAATATAATGTATTAGACTTTCAATAAATAACATTAATATTTTTAAGTGATTTTTTTTTTGGCTGATAAGTTATATATTTTAAGATAGCGAAATCAAGATATAAATGTAGTAAAGTAATCAGAAAAGTTTATTTTTTGGCACGTTGCTAACTATAAATAAAAACTGATAAAGCCTATAATGAAATAAGAAATTTGTTTTAAAGTTGCACCGCAACACTTGAAGTATTTCATTTTAAAATCAATTCTGTATTGTAATAGGAAAAAACACAAATGCTTCAGTTTAATGGTTTACTACAGTTATTTTTGGGTATTCGATTATTAATGGTCATTAATGAAATACAATGTATACACATAAATTATATATTATACATAATTTTTTTTTTATAGGTGACATGGAAAATGAGTATTACATTAAATGATAGATGATAAAATAATTTACGATACTAGTGATTATAATTTAACAACCTTATATATATTTTTTAATGATTAACTAAACTTTGAAGGATATCTTAAAATGTTTTATTCAATAAATTAAATATTGTATGGATACCTACATTTTTTTTAGATTTATTATTTAAAAATTAAAGAAAAATAAAAATAAAAATCTACCCATATAATTAAATCACACTAGATTTAAACAAGTTGAAAGTGTCATCAGTGGGTGGCTTCTTTCCTCAAATTTATGTATCATGTTATTGTTTTTTTCCTTCTTATCGCACATATACTTATTATGTCTTAGTTAGGTATAGATTGTATATTTTCTTCTTCTAAAAAAAAAAAATATTTATTATTTCTTTAATGTAATCTAAAATAGTTATAATATTACAATAAAAAAATTGTTTAAATATATCTTGTCTAAGAATTACAATTAGAGCAAAAGGAAATATTTTTTTTTGTAGTGTAAAAAACCAAGAAATATAAATCACAGTTTTTGGCATTGGATAAAATATATTTGAAATACTTTTGACCACATTTAAATCGAGGAAAAGTATATTCATAACCCAAATATTTTTGTATTTTTATAAGTTACAATTTATTTTAATATGCATTAAATTCATTTTCTAAAAAACATTTTGTACCTTACAAAATTAAGTAAAATATAATTTTAAGCAATTTTATATTTAATTTTAAATTAAAAATTATTATTAAATATAGATGAAACGAAGAAACGCTTATTGATGTATAGATTTAATAGTAATAAATCACGAGTCTCTGACATCAATAAAATTCGGATATCATGCCATTATATTCATAAAAATAACAATACACAACCATGATATAACGATTAACGGGTCTACGCTGTACCGTGGAAGGACTAACGAACGTAGATAGTGTGCTGAGGTAGGTATTATGAACGGCTACTGAATCCAAATAATTTTTCATCGATCAATATTCGACCTTTATCAATTCCATGTCAGTAAATCAAATAAAAAAGTTTGTACCGTGTCATGATAGCATTTTTAGTTAGGTATAGTCACTTTAATCGTCCAATTATGTTTCATAAGTTTTGAATTCTGTCATTTCCTTGCAAATTGTTGAATCCGTATTTCGCATGTTATTGATTTTATATTGTAAAAAAAATTTTAACTTGTGCTTGTATTATACCTATAATTTATAAATCAATATAACAATTAACAAAAATAATAATAATAATAAAAACCATTCCAACAGCAGACACAAACCGTCTGTTGGGGACTGTCTCATCTCACATAGCTTACATCTGTATTGGATATTCTGTGAAATATGTTACATGTATTATAACATATTTTTAAATCAGTACTATATATAATAAGGTATTCATTTGTAATGTTATGTTGTGTTCATAGAAAAAATTGATGAAATCAAACAATAGTGTACTGTTTCAAGTGCCGTTTATTTCAAATCTATGAATATACGGACATTTTTTTTTTTTTTGATTTCTGTTCTCCTTATTCTGTAAAAGTGCCTCTCTGAAAATAATAATAAATACCATTTTGAAACCTTTTTAAAATCAATATACTCCCATTTTCAAGCTTCACTAACAAAATCACTATCATTATAAAGCTAATACGTACATTGATTCACTTCAATCTAAAACACTTAAGTTTATTTATAATTTTAATCGATCAATACTTTTAATGTCAATATAGTTTCTGGATAATTTAAATTTAGTTAGAGTATGGTTAAAATATTAACCTTTTACTAAGATACTAATTAGTAATTTCTGATAACCAAACTATATACTCGTTTAGTTTAATAAATCTAAAAAAAGTTCCCTTTAAAGTTAGTAAGATACCTAGTATCTACTATAAATAAATAATTAAAATTATTTTAAGGCTTGCAGTTGATATATAGTATTGTACATAAATGCCAATGGCCTTTGTGCTAGTTAGTTACTGTTGGATTTTTCTTATCATTAGCTTTCACAATTTTCCAAAAAAAATTTTAAAAAATTATTTATCCAAATAACCTTCTGGGTCAATTTGATAAATACCTTGCAGAGGCAATTTGTGATGAGATATCAAGGAGCTCTTTTATTGTGCTACGATGTAGAATTACACAT